CCTTCAGCTTCCAAGTTGAATCACTGAGAATTAGCTTGACAGCAGGCAACACTGCCACTGGCCTTTACTGGTATTCTCTGGCTTGTCTGACCTTCTGACCCTCTGGGTCTGTGGAAAGCGAGAAATGCCAGATTTTGTCCTCCTTTCGTTCTCTTTCTTTCTTTCCTTCTGGGTTCCCAACCCAATCGGCAGATGACTTAAAGGTATTCCTTCCACTTGGAAATATCAAAGTGAGTGAACTGGCAAGAAGAGGAAGCTCACAGGAAAAAGGAAGGGAGAGAGAGAGAGAGAAAGAAAGAGAGGCTGCTAAAAAGGGGTTGCCTCTCCACTTCTGTAATACTGTTGTTACTACACCACTGTGTTTCGGTGTCTGTAGGGTGGTGGGGGCAGCACAGTGCCAGGCTTCAGGGAGAACTCAGAGAGGTATTCAGGGTTCTCTGCCACGATGGGCCGGATCCGTCCATTTTGTTTGTAAAAGTATTTTGTGCTGTACTCCTGCAGGTAGTCCGGGTGCTGGAGGGTGCTTCGTGGTGGCAGGCTGTGATTCCAGTAATCCGGGTTGTCAAAGGCCTTCTTGGATTTCTCCGGCAAAGGAAGCCCATTGTTCTTCAGGTACTCGGCATTTTCCAAAGTGTTAGCAAAGGTGTTGAGGTACAATGGCTCATTCACATATTCATCCTCTGCTTTGGATTGCCCATTTGGAGCATTGTGATACTCTGGGTTGTCCAGAGCTTGGAGATCACCGTTCTTCCGGCGGGAGACAAATGGATTCTCCTCTACTGGGTTCAAATAATCTAAAAAAGACAAAATGCATGTCAACATATGGAGAAAGCAGCCCAGTAACCAGCCCTTTCAGCTAGGAGCTTGTTTTAACATTGATGTCAGACCTAATCAGGGGTGATGCATAGGGGGTGCATATGGATGTACTTGCACCCCCTGTGTGTGGCGGTGCAATTGGTGCAAAAAGCCACTGCCGACAGTGCTGGTGGCATCTGCGGGAGCTCCCTGCTCACTGCCTCCGGGCTCCTGCCACTGCCGTCACATTCCTGCCGGTGCAGCCATGCCCCCCAGCCGCCGGGGGCACGTGCTGTTCATGGACCTAATGGTAACAGCACACTTATCCATGTTGCTATTATTCATTTATATCATGGTTCCTAGATATCAGGGCCAAAATTGGGTTAGATGCTGTACAAAATCATTGTGAGAGATAGCTCTTGCCCCTAAAAGCTTACAATCTAAACAGAAAAGGCACCCAAATGGTAGAAAAGGGTACCATTCCCATTTTAGAGATGAGGACCTGAAGCACAGAGAACCCAATGGACTTGTCCAAGATCACCAAGAATGTGAGGCAGAGATGGGAACTAAACTCAGATCTCCTTGAGTCTCACATGAGTGCCTTATCAAGGATGCCCCTTCCCCCCAAGTACAGTATGGAGTATGGTCTAGTGATCATAGAAGTGGAATAAGAGTATCGTGATCTATCCCCCTCTCTGCCACTGATTCTTTATGTGACCTTGGACTAGTCATTTTTACATCTCTACCTCATCACATTTTCCCTATCCAGAAACTGGTATTTAAGCCTCTGGTCTTATTATCTATCACTTAAGTCACCTTTGTATTATAAACAATTCCAAAGCCTAACCTTTACAACTGTTCTCTTAAAAATGCAGCTTGCTGGCTGATTAACCAGCTGCCCTTACTCAATGATACAAAGCTAGATATTCTACTAGTTATTCTAATTAGCATTGAGAGGGACCCTGAGCTATTACTAAGCCAAGATTAGGACGGTGAGATCCATAACAAATATCCAGACTCTGAAGTACGCCTTTCACATATCTGGTGTGATCTTCATCACTGCTTGAAGGCACTCAGCACCCATAGGGAAAAGGAGAGGAAGGGTTTTCTTCACAACACCACAAGAGAGGCCCATCAGAAAAAAAAATAAATAAATATGAAGACAGGGCATGTGCAGGAGGCTCTGCACACCACTCTTGGGGTCAGCAAGGACTCTGCTGAGGTGGGAGCCTATTACACTAAAGTCACGGATAGATGCATGCATGAACTGATATGCCAGGTCCCTTCCTCAACTCTTCCTTCCTCGCCCTCAGGAAGTAACAATTATTAATTTCCAGTCAGTGAATTTACCCAAGAAGTGAAGTTATGATTAATCCTTCACCTAAGTCAAAGCATTTAAATGGATCCCTGAAACCCCAGACTTAGTGTTTTGCCAAGCAGATATGAACTTAAGCGGGTGCTTCAAAATTAAACACGAGTAAATTCTCTGCCGAACCTGGCTCCAGGTGACTACGGGCGTTGTTACATGTGTTCCAGGAGTTGGGGGGGAGGTGCTTTAATTAAAATGGCCAAAGAGTCTCGTGTATCAGCATCCCCACACTTCAAAATAGTGGCAGGGTGCTTTATCTAAAGCTCATTGAACAAGCTTTAGTTAAAGCACCCCCACTGCCATTTGAAGCATGGGGACACTGATACACAAGATGCGGACATTGGCTGAAGTGCAGTAATTTCCATGCTCCAGAAGACTCTGTTAAATGAGCCTGCTTTGACATGCTGTAATTACAGCGCATCAGAGCAGCCTCCCAGCTCATGTATGGGCACCCATAGGCTCCATGCATCTTTTCTCCTTCCTTTGGGCACCTGTGTAGGGCTAGTCACAATCTATGTATAGTACACAAGGTAGGGTAAGGTGGCACCTTAGAGACTAATGTGGGTAACCACCTCTACATGCTGAAGTGGAATTCAAGAGCTCTTTAAAAGAACCAGCATTATAACACACCATTCTAAAGGGCTGAAAGCTACAGACACCTCATCTTAAATTAAAATGTTTGTGTAATTGTTTCTTTTAAGTGTGATACAGGGAAATAGGTGAAGTGTGGCCCCCTGATACAGCTAGAGTTGGCATAGATTTGGGCACATGTTTCTCTGCAGTGAAATGTCCTTATGTATGCTGTCACAACCCAAAGGTGTGATTTTTGTTTTGTGTGTGCTTTGGCACCACTGAGTTATGTTCCCGCTAAATTACAGCTTCTTTGCACAGTGGAGTTTTCTGCTGCAGAGGAAAACCCCAGTGTAAAAGAATTCCCGCCAATTTGACTTGCTAGCCGTATAAAAAGCTTGAGTGGTTTCCGCCCAAGTTGGAGAACTTGGAGGCTTGAGTGGTTTCCGCCCAAGTTGGAGGACTCCACGAACACCAGGAGGAGGAGACTTCACGCTTTGTGAAGATCTCTAAGCACTGCGGAGCCTATCGGACCCAGCGCATTTCAAGCAGGCAACAGGGGTCTGATCAGCCTCTAGCCTCTCCCCGTCACCGAGCGCGAACCTCGACGTATCCCTCTCCCTGCACGCAAAAGGATCCACGGAGCCTCAACAACTCCGTGGGAGTGATCCGAATATTGTCTGAGTCCTCAAATGAGGATTTAAGCGGAGCTGTGCCTGGGAAACTGTCCAGCCTACACCGCAACCATCTTCGGTGTAAGTAAACAATCTTGAATCAACCATTACGCGTCCGTGCCTAATTCCAGCATGTCGCCTGTTCTCTCCGACCCAGCGTGCCCGGGCTGCTGGCCACAGCCCGCGCGGCGCAAAAAAGGGCCAGGACCGCTCCCGGCCCGCACATATGCATCATCTATTGTGCGTTCAGAACTGAGCTTCTCCTGGGCATAAAATGCCAAGTTTGTGAAATGGTTGAAAGACTCATTGAAGATGACATCACAAGACACACTAGAAATTACAGCCAGTTGAAAAAGGGTATTTTCCATGAAAAATTCAGAAGTGGTTTTTGTTTCCATTAAAATTTTCTAATGCATTTTTCTTTTCTTTCTTTTTTATTAAACTGAAACACAGAGAACCTGAAACCCAACATTTTAGTATTTGCTTTTCATGAGGGGAAAAACAAACAAACCAGCCACATCACTTTTTTCACATTAAAACTGATGGTTTAGTCAAAAAGTCATTTTTGGTCAAAAAATATTTCAGCAAAAGTATTAAGATAAGGTCCTTCTAGAGTCTTTTACTGCTAAATGCTAAATCTTTACCTGTTTTGGGCTTGTCACGCATTGGAGTCATGTATCCATCTTCATCTAACTCACTCCGTGGACCCCGCTCAGGTACAAATACTGTTGGGTCAGCGCTATACCTCTGAGTGCTGCTGTCCTCTTGTGCAAGGGTAGCCACCTGCTTCCGCAGTGTGCCATTACAGCAAGTGTCATCAAAGATCTCTGCTGCAGCTCCTTGGATAACTGGGGCCTCTGGTACTATGCAGCCAGTGGGTCTGTATGGCAGAGGCACTCCCTGTTCAGCAGTGAAGCCGCCATCTCTATACAAAAACTGGTTCTGTTAGAAATAAAAGGGATTGAGAGAGAATAAAGTAACTGACTGAACAGAGAGACTCTTTTGGTTTCACATCATTTTTTACTCAGTGCTGCATTTTATTAAATGCTTGAACCCTTCTTTAGACTGAAGATCACGGCCATTGCTGTAGCTGCATCAGTGCACTCTGGCATAAACTGAAACAAAGATGTTACTTGCATAGGTGGTGCTTACCTCAGTTTCAATCAGGATGAAACTACATCAGTACAGTTAATGGTGTTGCCCATTAACACTGCTGCAGCTATACAAATGGCTGGCTACAGATCCTGAAAGTCAGGCAAGTCACCAGTCTAGACAGGCCTAAGAGTCATATACGCAGTAAATGGAACCAACTGATATAGTTTTCTTTCTCTGCTGGGCTGGCAAGAACAAATTCTTCTTTTTCTTCGAACAACAAACTTTAAACATGACCTGATGGAAAACTTCCTCAAGAAAGGACAGAGAACACTGTCACCCCTAAACTCTTATTTATTCCAATTGGACAAAGTTTTGATGTGAATTTGTAGCAATAGTCAAAACCACGCAGTCACGTAAACTCTATGCTATTATGATGAGAGCTGAAATTTAGCTTGCATTTCCATTGGTGTCTCAACTCATTGCTTTCCCTCAGCCTATCATTTTGCTTGTCAATAAGAGTGTTCATGTAAATCTCATTATCATGACCTACAAGAAGAAAGGAAAAGTGGGCAGAAATGTCCAAGCTCTTTACCTACATCTTTGTGAAATATTATCGGATATTCTGGATCTACAGTACCATGGAACTCTAGATGTTTTGATGAATCAAGACTAGGTTTCAACAGACATGTGTGTTTGGTTAGGGTCTATATATTTTGAATCACTGTTGGCTTTGGATAAATTGGGCAATTTATGAAGAAAACAAGGAAGGGAACAATCGGTTTAGAGAGACAAAAAAACCCTAAAGGATGAAGGTTGATTGTGAAATACTTACTCCTGACATAGGGGTGTACGCAGGAGGAGGGCTGTGTCCAATTTCACTCTAATAGGAAAGAAAAATGGAATGATGGATATAATAAGAGGTCACATGAAAGAAAATAAGTCACATGAGCTGTATGAACCAATGGGGAAAAACATGCACAACAGTGAGAGGCCAGATCTGGCCATTCCTGCCCAGGTAACACTCCCCTTGAAGTCAACAGGCCTTTGGATTCAGTGGGAGTATTGCCCGAAGCAGGACCACAGGATTTGTCACTGGCTCGTTAAGAACAAGTGCTACATTGGCTGATAGATGCCTGTTTTGCAAATGTCTTTGGTTTAAGTTTTGAAGAGACCGATTCTATAGAGACACTGATGTACATGTGGAAGGTAGGCTTATCTCATAAAGAATGTAGAGCAGGGAAAGATGCTGCTATTTTCAGTCAGCCCAAAGTACACTACAATGTTTCCTTTTCCACATATCAAATAGCATGAACAGGATAAAGACAGGGGAATCTACAACCCAGGATGAAGGATCTTGCACCAAGCCTTCACATACTACAGCTGCTTAAAACTGAAAGGGGGGAGGAGTGGGAATATGAAAACAATGGGGAGGGAGCCATTTTCATTTTAATTTGAAGTTTTCTGCAAATATTTTGATTTAAAAAATGAGTATGTTACAGGAAACTTTTCATTTTGTTTTGGTAAGAAAAATAAAACCCTATTTCTGCTTACTTCTAAAAAACTTTGCCCATTTTTCCACTGGAAAAAAGAGGGGAAGGGAAAGACACAGAAATGTGAGACAAAGTAGGAAAAAAACCTTTCTATCAAAAGAATTCAGCCAGCCCTAACACACACCGGTATCAAATAAATTGCATTTTTTCCCCATACCCCACTCAATATCTGTCTCAGAAAAATACAAGCATGTTAAGAGAGGTGCCTCACCAAAAAGATAAAAAATATATACACAGTACAATGAGGTTGAGGGGCATTTTTGCCAACCTCATATAATTACTACTTATAAACATTTTACCACAAGGTATTAAAGGCAGACGTGGCTGTGCTGCTTATCTTTCAGATTGTCTAACACTTCATTTTATGACACCCTGTTTTCAGTCGCTTATAAGTTTGCCAAATTTTAACAATTCAGACTGAAATTTTCCATGCTGGATGCCTGCTTCAGGCAGATTTTATTTTCAAAGACCCAGCTATAACAGTTCAGATGTTCCTGGAAATAAGACTGGGGGAAAGATGATGCTGTACTTATGTTAAAAAAAATGTTGAGCAAATGATCACATGCAGAGTTGAAAGAGAGATGTAAAATTTGGCAGAGGGAGTTCTCCTAGAAGCAGAAGTATACCTATTGCCATCCCTGTGAAAATCCACCTGATTTGGCCAAAATACAAGTTACTGAAATATTTCAGTTTATGCATCACACATGCTCCTTGGAGATGTTTTAGAATTTGACAACTAAATTCTCTTAAGTTTCCATCTGCACTAAGCATGTTCCAGCTCAGGAATGTAATATCTGAGCATGACTTTTTCAATAAATGCTTTTTCTGGAAGCTCAAGTGGTAGAGGTGAATCTAGGGATTGAAGGATTGCAAATCTAAACATTCCAAAGTACTAACATTGCCCATGCAACTTTAATTTGGTCCTCTTGTGCCAATATGTTATGAACATCTTTAATATCAAGATCACATACTATTGTTTCAGAAACATCTGAATCTCCCCAGAGAAAGAGATGATCCAGAAAGGGATAGGTGTAACTCTACACTCTACAGGGCAACAGGTGGCACAGGATCATTAGTAGTTTTATTAAAATCCAGAGGCTGAAGCAAGACAGGAGGAGAGAGTGAAGGATAAAATGCCTTGTCTGCAAAACTGAAATAAGCATTGATATGAAGGTGAGGTAATGATATGTGGGACCCATGGAGCAAAAGGAGGAGTGAGGAGATAGCACTGACAGGTACCATATTTGCTCAAATATAAGATGACCCTGACTATAAGATGGACCCCCAATGATTAGATTCTATATATAGAAAACTTATACATTTGTTATAAGTTTCCAGGTATAGAATTTAATTTTAGGAGATTTGCCTTGAATTTGTCCCCCTCCCACTGCTACAGCAGGGAAAATAAATCTGGGGGGGAGGGTCAAGTAGTCCCCTGGCCCTCTGCCCCCCAAATTCTTCCTCCTGCAGCCCCTCCCCCCACTGTCAGACCCTGCTCTCCCTGAGCACATAAAAAAAAGAAGGAAATTTGAAAATATGGACTTTGTATTGTGGGTACCTATATCTTTAGCTCTTCAGAATTGATGCATTTACCTTTTTGGAAACTGTTGCAAGTTTTAGCACAGGTAATTCATGAATACATTTTTAACCAGCATTTTGGCACATAAAAGGCTCATGCGTTACCATATAGTTCATTGGGCCCTAGAAGCGTCAACCCTGTTTCAAACCATGGCGGCCCCATAGCTCAGCACTGCTCAGTATGTGGGTATATACTCCAGATACCTCCCACAAAGGACTCACCTGCTAATTAGCCCCCCTGCCACTCGTGGCTGGAATGGGTGTTCTTGCCATGAGTCCTGGGATGCTCCAAAATTTTATATGTGGGTGATGTGCAAGGCAGCCTTGTCTGGCTCCACCTCATGGAGGTCGGGGCCACACTAATCATATGCGACAGGCTGAGAGAGGGGGAAACAGAGGGATTCTGGATGAACTGTTTGGATCTCCTTTTGGTGATGTTTGCCAGACATTTAAGATGGGTGAAAACAGGAATAATTGGAAATGGGAAAAGCACAGCTCTGCTGCAGGGGTGAAGAGGAAGTCAAAATGTATTCAATGTATGAAAAAGAGTCAGTGTGGAGGGGGACTGAGTGCAATGGGCATTATCATGTATTTTATTTGGATGGGCTGTACTAACCTATTCTTGTGGTAGGTTTTCATCAACATCTTAGTGTTTTGGCTCAGATCAAGTGTAGGAGACATCTGAATCTTAATACCTCTGAGCTTGGGCCTGCATGTAGGATGTCTGCCAATGGATTTGGGAGTAGCTGAAGTCCCAGGGTAAGTCTGGGATGGAGGATGCTCACTGGTTGTAGCACCATACATGGCATTTAGAACAATTGAGTTCTGCCTGCTTAATTGATATGTTGGGGTTTTTTTGAATGATGGAGTTCTGCTCAGTTATTATGATTTGGAACTGATTTGGCTAATTTGACCTGGAACATGAAATACATTATTTAAAAAAAAAAAAAAAAAACTGGTCTTTTGGTTGAGATTAAATGTAGCAATTTTGAGACTAAAGGGAGGGTGTCAGAGCTGGCTCTGGTTCTTGTGATACCAACTTGGTATTGCAGTACCTCAGGCCTCGTGCCACTTCCCTGTGGAGGGAACACATACCTGTTTTTTTTAAGGGCAAAAAAAATTTCCCATCAGCATGTCTGCCAAATTTTAGACATATGTTTTAGAGACATGCTCAGTGCTGGTTGCATTTAATCAAATTTATAGTTGGTTTCTATTACTGCGCACATGGTGCTTTTGGCAGCAGTTTAATGATAGACAATGTATTTAATGAAGTTTCCTTGTATGTAAATGTAAGACGAGGGGCTTTCTATCCCAAGCTGATTGGGGGGGTGGGAGGGGGTTTGGCACATCATCTTATATTTGAGTAGATACAGTATGTCTGTCTAGAATCTGCTTCAGGAAATAAGACTAAAACTGAGAAGACTGGGATAGGAATCTCTTTTCTGGGAGTCAGAAAACTACATCAAGGACAACATACCTGTTGGTGGCATTTGCTATAGTTTTCTTAGCCTTCCTAGGTATTTTCAGTGTACATATATTTGATGTATATATATCTAAACAATTAAACTGCACCTAAAAGGTGCAGCTGCTGCCTGCTTAAACGGCTGTAGCTCAACCCTCAAAAACAAGTTCTAAATGAACTCAATTGACCAATTAATCTCACATGAAAATATTCAGTGGCAGCTAAGGTCAAAATTTGGTCCCATGGGGTGGTTGAGGCCTCTGAGACTTGAAGTAGTCTCAAAGACAAGAATAAAATGGGAGAACACAAACACTATGATCACTCTAGGGATAAAAAAAAGAAAGCTGAAGGTGGCAGGAAGAAGGTATTACTGGGCACACCTACACGTTCATTAATGCACTGTAGTTACAGCACATTTAAGTTTATTCCCTGTAATAACAGGTACTAACTCAATGTGCAGTAGCACCAATACATGCCTTTTAAGTGATGCTAAAGTGCAGTAGATCTACTGTGCAATAGTGTATTAGCATGACTTCTGCCATGATGCATTAATGAGCAGTAGAATTCGTCTACTGTGCATTTAGCGTCTCATGTAGATGTACCCACTGAGTCTGAACATGCTTAAATGTAGATTAAAAGTAGCTTTGGAAACAGAGTGGTAGTTTCTGAACCAGCTCTGGTGCTGCCAGATGTAGAAACAAGAATGACACAAACTACAAAGACAGTCAAAGGCAGCATGGCCAAGAACATAGTGTGATCAGCAAGTGAACCCTTCAGCCTTCTCCCAGCATGATTAAAACTTTTCTCTTTGACAGCCTTATTTGCAGAAGCAGTGGGGAGCAGAACCTACACAGCCAAGGCAGCTACTACACTTCAAAAATCTTCTACAGGGCTAAGTCAACTCTTCCATAATGTTTAATGGTGTCCATTAGGAAGGCCAATTTGAAGAACAGTTTCAAGACTCTGGTAAGTTTTGCTAGGGATACTGAAAATTCTGGAAGACACCACTGTCCAAGCAGGGTGCATACTGAATATATTGTGGCCATGGGGGTAGTAAGAGATACATTTATCTGTATCAGTTCATGATGAATGGCAGCTAAGAGAGATTCATAGAGAGACAAGAAAGCTACAGGTTTTAGAGTTGCCTTACTACATCCATCCCCACCACAAGAAAATTGTTTCTAAGGAATAATAATAGTAACAACAGCAGCAGCAACATCAACAATAATAATAAAACCCTAACACAGAGCTTTCCAAACTGTGTGCCGTGACACATTAGTGTGTTGGCAGCAGTGTGTAGGTGTCACGCGAAATGCAGAAAATTTTGCGGAAGGGCACCGCGGAGCTCCCTTACTCGCGTCTGCTTCCCTTGGCCCCTGCCCCGGAACTGAATTACTGTGTCGTGAAATGATGCACGTCTAAAAAGTGTGTCACCAACATGAAAAGTTTGGAAAGCTCTGCCCTAACAGATGCTTTATAAGAGTTTACCTTGGAAGTGGAATAACTCCAAAACCTGCTTCATGCAATCTTCTTAAAGCTCACTTCAGCAGATGATTTGGGGCAATACAGAATGTCCTCTTACACAGGGAAGATGTTAGAACCAGAAGTGAAGATTGGCCCCAGAGCTCTAAACACTACTTGCTTGAAAGCTGGTAAGGACAGACTACAACTTAGAGGGAGATGGATGAAGGAAAGGGAACAGTCCTTTCCAAATTGCCAGATACTGCTCAGAACTCCTATAACTAGCTACTGCTGCCCCAGCTAACATCTGGGAGCACACAGAAAGAAGGGGGAGACATCTCCATGGCCTCTCTTTTGACCTTGGGAATACCTCTGATAAAAGAAACTCACTCACTCACTCACTCACTCCTAATTGGGTGGCACTAGAGATGGACAATAAGGCAGGGTAGGCAGCTTCAGAAGCAGTCCCAATGACCAAAAAAAGTGATCTGGGGTCTATGACCCAGGGGTACATTCAGTCTCTTTATCTCAGGAGAATCCTGGGGCATACACTCATAGCTGTTACAACACCCAGGGCTGCCTCCTGGGCCTAACTGCCTATTCCAGGTGCTCCTATGTGGAAGAAAGTAGATGGAGCTTATTTTGTTACCAGAGGTCTCAGGTTAGGGATGGAGGCTATACTGATATGCCCAGGATGCACCTGAAAGGTCCTTTGCCCTTCCCACATGCCTACTTGAGAAGCAAGAACAATCCCAGACTACAAAAAGATAGGACATAAGAAAGTACTGAAGGGAGAAAGCAGCGGCAAGTGGTTAGAACAGAGACTTCAGGCAAACAGATCAGATCCAGAGCGCAATTCAGAATGGGAGTTCAGCGATCTAAGTGAGACACCCTACAGAAGTTGCAGCATGTCTCTGGAACCTGCGGTATCTCTCACTGGAGATTTTCAAAAAGAGACTGGATAGGCGCACATCTGGGAGGATTAAGGAATAGCAAATCTTATACCTGTGCAGAGGGTTAGACCCTTGAGGGTCCTTCCAACTCTAATTCTCTCTTAAAGAGCAGGGATCCTAAACCAAGATTAGGAGTTTTCTAGGAGTCTCAAAGTCTCCTTCTTGTTTTCATCTGTCCTGTGATCATCTCATCTTCCTTACACTGCCTGAAGCATGAGGAAGAAGGCCTCTAGCCTGCACTTCGGCAAAAAAGAACTGAACCATCAAGGGTCTTGCTGTCCTCTAGAAGTAAGAAAGCTTTCTGCTTCCTCACTCTTTTGTAAATGAAATTACCCAGATTAAATGGAATCATATCTGTAAAACAAAGAGAGAGTACAAGCAACCATACACCTTTTTATTTTCATTTGCTCTAGGATGTCCAGAGATTACCCACCACGGATTTGCTTTGCTTCATTAACTGTGAATTGTGCAGCCATCTCTATGGATAAAAAATAAAAGCTCTATACTATATTCATATTTTTTGGCTACTATTCTTTTCAATTAAATATTCTTTGCATGACCATAACGAAATAACTAGCCCTCTTCGAATAATCCTATTCTAAAACATCAGGAAAGAGGGACTAACATTAATGCACTTACTGCTGCTTATGCATATAAGATCTCTGGTCCATGACCTGCCAGTTCCACATCAGGACATCTTGCCAACTAACATCACAGTAATGATGTTTTCTTCATGCAATTCCTTTATTTCATCATTAAAGACTAACCATAGGATTCTCACCACAGAATGCTAAACATGGCTCTTTTTGCATCTATTGTTGTCTAAGCAGTTTTGTTTTTTTAATTCATTTTATTTTCTTGCCAGGATGAAGATTCCACAGTCATTGTTCGAAAAAAGGAGGCAAGGAAAACAGCTGCAGTGCCAATTAGTGGGGCTGAAAATGTGATATAATTGTTGTTTAAATGTCCTTAAATTGCCTGCTAATTACAATGTGCCGTCATAATTTTGTAGACTTCCAAAATAACTTCTTGTATTTAAGAACCAAGCCAACCATTTTTTTATTATGCATTTCTGCTTGGCCAGCAAACGATAGGTCTTTGAGGATAGGAAATATTTTTGTATTTAAAAGGTGAAATTGAAATAGCTTAAATTATAAATCTGCATCAAAATACTTTGTCAGTCAGCAATATAATTTAGAAGTGTTTGTTCCTGCATCTTGAATACTGAGTCTTGAAAGAGAAGTTTTAGCATAAGTAGGGCTTGAATGATAGGAAAAGAAGGAAACACTATAGTTTACTTTGCTGCCTTAGAATTTAGTTTTTAAACAGTGATGAGTGATTCTGGATTTCACATTGTCCGGGTGGTCAATCTGTGATGAATTCCAGAGAGACAGGTGCTCAGCACTCCCTGAACATCAATAATCGGGCACCTTTGAAAATGTAGGATGGATCTCTATTTTTGTGCATGCGTGCTATACACACATCCACCTACATTTAACCTCTAAGCATAGCCTATAGGGAAGCCAGCCTTTTCAACATCCTGTCAGCATCCCTAACAAGAGAGGTGTGAGATTCAATTCTTTTGCCTATGTGAACATATATTAAAAAAAAACAAAGCACAATGAGCACGAAATATGAACAAGCAAAATGTCCCCATAGCTTTTCCAAGGGGCCTCTGGTATCAAATGCCAGTGACATAACAGTTATTATAACCTCTAACATCCGTGGAAATGAGCCTTAATAAAACAAAGGTAAATAACACCTTTGTGAATATTGTTTTATGTCATTGCTTTCTATCTGCTAATTTTATTTTCCAATTCCTTGCCTCTGAAGCCTTGCTAGGTAAATAGCTCCTCTCTTTATAGCACTGATATATTATATGGGTGAATCCATGCTAAAGTGTAGTGAAATCAAAGCTAAACTAGCAATTCCACATCAGGGCTTGACGTTCTATTTACACAGTTGTGTGGCTACGCGTCTTCCTTGTCTCTTTTCATTTTGCTCTATCAGCATGCCTGGGAGATGGGCTCTTGCTGATATTATTATTCTGAGCTGTGTTTCTGAAACTGCATTTTCATTAGTCCCTTCTATACAGAAACTGATCTCCTGCAGCCCCATTTGGACCATGAATATAATACGGTGCCTTCCTCACAGCAGGAAATGCTGAAGATCAGTGAATGTGACACTAGCCCCTGGGACTCTTGGTATGCTCACCACCATGTACACACCTGCTTCATCCCTGGGCATGGTCCAGCATTCCCACGCCCTGCTCTTTTGCATAGCAGCTCCAGTGCTCCAGGAATGCTGCTGGAAGGCTGCTGTTCATTGTTGTAATGCAAGAAATACAGAAACATTAGATAAGGAAGGGGGTCGCATAATTGATATAACTTCTCATTATAAATCATCCCCAAATAGCTGCTAAATTCACATGATCAAGGCTTTTTTCTTACTAAACACATGGCAATGCCAACTTGAAGCTCAGCAGCACCTAACTGCAAGTAGCTTCACCACAAAATGAACTAGGGAGCAAAGTGCTGGCCAGCAGGAGCCTGGGTAGTCAAGCTGGATCTTTATACATGGTTTTCAACTGCTTCACTGCTGGGCCTTTATCTAGAACCCAGGCTGGCACATGGCACATCAATAACCAAATCAAAACTATCAAACATTTGTCTTTTCTCCTCAAGTCTATTTGAAAAAAGCTTGCAAGTTTTTTCCATCTAAACACATCTTCCCCCTCCCTGCCCAAGTGTTTTGTTAAAATCAGAAATGAAACTCTGCTTATTTTTATCATTATACCCTAAAAATTATTTTTATCTATCTTATGCCTTTTAAAACATTTTGAAACAAAAAAAAATCAAAGCGTTTCCTCTCAACTTTCCCACTTCCTTTCTCTAAGTTTTTCAACTGAAAATATCATCTGACTTTGATCCCACGTAGTTTCAAAAACAACATTTTTCACCCAGATTTAGATAAGATTGGAAGACAAAGTCCCATTCAAGTCTCTGGCAGCGCATCCTCAGCAAAGAATAACATAGCTGTAAGTGAGGCAGGGCTCTTAGCTTAAGGCTCTTATGAGGTAGGGATGATTCTGTAGCAGAATAACTTACAGGTGGAGTAAGTCAAATATTTTGTGCTGATTAAATGTTTTTGGACAAAAAATTGATTTTTTTTAAAACTGTGGAATAAACTCCCTCCAGAGGTGGTACGATTATCTACCCGGACATCTTCAAGAAGAGATTGGCTGGTCACCTCACTGCAGTCACCTGACCCCAATTGTCTTTCCTGCCTAGTGCAGAGGGGCTGGACCCAATGATCTTGTGAGGTCCCTTCCAGTGCCTTACATCTATGAATCTATGAAAATATGCATGATAATACTCTCTTTCAACACAACAATAGAAAACAAAAACATGTACTTTACAACTTTCATCATTTGTTCCATTTATGTTAAAATAACAGTTTCTGTTATTTTTTCCATAGAAAAAAACAATATATTTTCACCAGAAAAATAATAAGCTTTCTTTGTATAAGCTCTGGGTAGGGTCATGGGTGGATCCAGAAGAAGAGTGAGTCAGGTGTCATCACACCTCCTTCAGCTGTGTAGCCCATGTGCAATGAGCTCTCTGAGCTCCTGGCTGCTCAGTGCAGGCTGCTGCTAGACCTCCGCCTGCACAGGGAGCTCTCTGACCTCATCACCTGGCTGATGTGGGCTCTTGGCAGAGCCATTGTTTTCATGTGGCTTGGGAGCTCAGGGGATGAACATTGCCACTGTTTTGCCCCATCATCCCTGGCCCCATGCTGAATTTGGGAGCAGGGGGGGAAAATGGCAAATAGCAGTAGTGCTCATGCCTGGGCTCCAGTGACAGTGGCTTTGGCAAGAACGCCCACTAACCAGAAGAAGAGCTCAGAGAGCTCTCTGCACAGGTAAAGCTCCAGCAGGAGCCCCACATTGACCAGCTGGAAGCTCAGAGAGCTCATTGCACATGTGAAGCATAGCAGAAAGGTAAGTGCAAATGCTCCACTGCACCCCCCACCCCCTGCATCCACCCCAGTGGAGGGTTAGTCAGGAAGAACACCAACCAAGTTTAGCTGTAACCAAGGTCTAGTGTTCATCCTTGTAAAACTGGGGAAAGGAGCTCAAAGTTTGTTTCTAGTATTTATGCCTTACGCAGGTATGCACATATAGCCATATACCCATCTCCACACCATGCCTGTGCTAACATGATAGTCCTTTCCTATGTACTTGGAATGGTTATTTTTGCCTGAACAAAGCGAGTGTGAAGTAGGAGTAAAATAATCCCATGCCCAAATGGCAATGTTGCCTTCTAACTCTGGCTACACAAGTTGTAAGGCAATGCATTGCTCGTAATATCTTCCACATGGCCACTGCTTGGACCCTGCCTACAGTCCTTTGTGCACTTTCATGGCAGGGCTGCTTGTACTTAAGAATAACTAAGCCACAGAAACTGTTTACCTGATAGGAACTGAGTCAGTATGTAGCCTTAAGTCACCGAACTGCAGCCTCCTAACTTACAAGGCTGTGCAGCTGTTGCTGTAAGCACAAAGACTTCAAAAGTCCACCTGGAATAAGGACAGCTGGTTTATGTGAGTGCATCTGAATAATGTGCTCTGGATACTCTAGTGGTGCTGCAGGCAGAACAAACAACACATTGCTGTCCCATCAGCCCAGAGCAAACACCAGTTACATTTCAAAGGAACAGCCTGGTATTTACAACTGATCCAACCTGAAATCAAATTCAAATTGGAAACAGCACCCCAGGAGAACATCTCTCTCTTCCCAAGGGTTTTGCTGATTTCTTGTGACCACAGCTTACTCTGCCTTGCTTTATGGAACCTACACGTCTGCCTGAACCTAAATCAAAAGGAGTCTGTACCACATAGGTTTATATATATATGGAAAGAGAAAGAGAGAGAGAGAGAGAAATGAATGAATCAATATATAGTGAAAACTAGAAGACTTTTGTGGATTCAGCTGCAAGCTTTGAAATACTTTGATTCCCTGCAGCCATCCCAGTAGGGTCAAATCAAGTCACCAGTCCTTCCAAGGTAGATAAACTTTGTTATACAAAGCTTAGTGTCTGGGTCAAAGAAGACATTGAAAATTAAGGGTCTGTCTGTTCTGAAGGGATATTAAAAGTTCCAGGGACCGTTTTCTGAGTGGATGGATTTTCTTTTGTTGTTAGACAGTCTGTAACAGGCCAAAGGAGCTGGAAATGTGCTTGATATAAGCCAGCTGTGGATTTCCCCACTGTCGAGGAGATGTGGTCTGGCTGGTAGAAAGGTGTCTGAGGTCAGAGCGCTTTGCACTCTGGCAGTTCTTGATACATTCTCTGGCTCCTGGAATGCAGCGGTCCCTAAGGCTGCTCTAACTTACTTTGGAGCTAACAGCAGACATCACTGACTATCTGCACTATTGGCATGAACATGATATGGCATATAGAATTCTCAAAGGACAGTCTTGCCCCTCGAAAGCTTTCCTCTCTACAGAACAACTTCTCACCAGCTCTAATATTAATTGTCCTCCCTCCCTACCTTAGAAAAGTCAAGAACAGGTGAGGTATGAAGTGTGTACCAAATCTGATTTTATGGGTACGGAGTGTATATGTGTGGGCATGTGCAAAACGCGTATGCGGGCAATGTATGTGCAGACAAATTATGGACTATTCTAGCACATTAAGCAAGTTTGTAACACCCCAAAAGCAATGACTACATTTGTAAAACGAAAGAGAACATCAGGCCAAATCTTCATCCATTCCTAATGTGGCCTTCACCATGGGACCCCAGGTCACTACAGCAAGGCAGCATTCTATTCATTAATTTAGTGCTTGTGAAAAGCCCCTGAGTAATTGTTCCTGGGGAATGAAACCCTTTCTTTTTAAGCACAAAGCATGTAAGGCACAAGTAATGATTTCTCTAACTTCCCTGCGCTCACCTGTTTTTCTCCCAAATATGTCTCTGTCCTTATCATTTCATCTTTGGCACTTTTCCTAGGACTGCCAACAGCAGTGCCCAGTTAGTGCCAACAGCTATGACAAAAATCTGTGAGCTAGCAATTGGCTTGAGGCTAACAACTGATATCTAGCACATCAAGCCATTTCTTTACAAACAGATAAATAAGAAAAGTGATGGACATATTACTCAGACAGTTCTGCAGAGCTACTAGTGTGTGTATGAGCACGTCTTGTCAGCTATTTCAGCACAGAAACCAAAATATGCTTCACCTGATTTCGTGCTCTGAGACATTTGATTTTTCCTGGAGACAGCAATATAGACAATTAATAATATGAAAGGAATAATGCATATAAATATAAATTCAGTGAAATACAGATAGCTAAAGGGTCCACTAAGTAGTTCTAGCAATTTATGGTGTCCCTAGCCTAATAGGCTGTTTTGATTTGGCAGTAAAACTCCATAGGGACAGATGAATCTTTATTGAGCCCCAGTTTCTTTTCAGTGAACAGATACACACCGTTTTAAAACATAACAGCCTAAGAGATGCCATAGAGTCAGGCTACAGGTTGCTTTAGTCCGGTCTGCTGCACCCCACAGTGTCATGGAACAGATTCTTAGGAAAAGTATATTTATGTAGGGCCTATCCAGACTAATCTGTCCCCATTCCCTCTTCCCTTAAAACTGTCAGCTATTAGAGGCCCAGGAAATCCTCTTTTGGAATTAATGCCAGTTGCTATAATGCTTAATACCCACTGATGGACCTAATCAATGGGTATCGCACCTGTCTGATCCTCTTTTGAACCCAGTTCTATTGTCCACCTGTATAATGTCTCGCAGATGCATTTTAGTACTGAGGCAGCACAAAATGTAAGAAGTGATGTGGCATCTTTCCATGTTAGTCAAAGGCCATAGACAGGTGTTTATTGCTGTGGGTAAAAAATTCACTGAAATTCTTACTGCTAGAAAAATAGCCTGGGGAACTGGAGCTATGGCTGGGCTGCTCCTTGGGTCACCCCAACCCTTTGGACACCCCAAAAATTAACGGCCTGCCCTTCCCCCTGCTGAGGAAGCAGCAGCTGCCACAGGCAGCCCAAGGAGAATGAGGAGTATCCCCCTCATCCTACCAATCATCTAACTGACAGCAGATGGTGGGGAGGAAGAGGAGAGTAGGAGCGTATTCTCCTGTGTTTGAAAACCTTCTCATTCCCACCACAGAAGAATAGCCCCTTCTCCTTGCACTCCTCCCGGATGACCGGGGAGAATATGGGGTGAGGCAGGGCAGGGGCATTCTGTTGCAGTGGCAAAGCTCAGGGAGCCTTGCTGCCAGGGTGTGGCAGCCTGTTTTACC